GGTGAGTACCTGCCTCTCCCTTGTCGCCCTTTGCTCCGTCTCGTCCATCTCTCCCGGGCAAACCATTGTGACCGGGATTCCCAGGGACGCCAGGGTGCCCCTGCCTGCACGTGTCCTGTGCGTTCACGTTTCCCATGCAGATCCCGCCGGCGAGCAGAAGCAACCAGGTCCTCATGTTTCAGATGATGGAGCTGAGCTGAGAGAGGGAAACACAGACCAGAAGGAAAGGCCTTTGTTTCTGGGGCCACAGACACAGCCTCTGCTCCTTGCCGTGGGGCACGGGCCCACTCCCGATCGACCTCGGACAGGATGGCCAAGACCGGTAAGGGCAGAAGCCGCTAGCGGACGAAGCTTCTCACAATCAGAAGGCCATCGTTCTTGAAAGGAACTCACGTGACTGGGACCACTCTGAATGGCGAATGGTCAAGGGGAAAGCCGAGTTCCAAGTCAAATACTCGCATTTACCATTCCGCTCCACTTGGGGCAAACCGCTTTTTGGAGCCAGAGAAGGGAATGATACTCACTTCTCGGCGCTGCTGTAACAACCAAGGTTGACTACAAAGTGCATGAAAAGCACATGTTCAACAGTAAAGCAAACACAGAATTAGCATTTGATCCGGCAACCCCAGTTCGGGGTGGACACACACAAGAGCTCGAAGCAGAGACTCCGACATACTTGGACACGCATGTTCACACCAGCTTTAGTCACAGGAGCCCGAAGGTGGGAACAACCCACACGGCCGCCGACATGTGAATGAACAAGATGTGTTTACACACACGATGGGATGCTCCTCAGCCTTGAAAAGGAGGGACGTTCTGACGCATATACTACAACACGGACGAACCTTAAAGACATTGTGCGACGTGAAATAAGCCGGACGGGACCAATACTCTCCGATTCCACTCGTATGAGGGCCCTAGAGTAGTCGAATTCACAGGGACACAAAGCAGAACAGTGGGAGCCAACGGCTGGGGGAAGGGGAGGGGAAGCTAACGGGGACAGAGTTTCGGGTTGGGAAGATGGAAAAGCTCTGAAAGCGGACCGCGGAGACAGTCGAACAACGTGAACGTACTTCATGCCACTGAACTGGACGCTTAAAAGCAGGTAAAGTGGTAAGTTTTATGCAATGTTTACTTTACAATAAAAAATAAACAGAATGAAAAACAGTAAAGCATTCCACGCTGTCCTACTGTGATGAGACATATGCTTTGAGTTAGATTTTTGACTCTACAGGAAACCACCGTGAAGGGCACGCACACACACACACACACACACACACACACACACACACCCCCAAGGAACAGGCAGTTTGCGAATAACACCTTCAGGCCCCACTGCGAGTTTTTGATTTGCTTTCCAACCCCATCAGGAGCGAAGGCCACGCCAGGTGGTGAGGTTTGCGATGAGATCTAAAGGAGCAGAGCAGCGAATCAGGCCAAGTGTTCTAGGCAGAGAGAACACACAGGCAAGACCCTACGGCAGTGTGCACACAGGATTCGTGGGACGCTCTTGACTACATCAGATCTCCCCGGGAAGGGGGCACCACACCGATGCCTCTCTTTCACGGCACCGTAGTACAGGGCTACCCTTACTTACGTCACCGTATGACTGAAGTCTGACTGCATTTTTCTCCTTACTGTACTCCTAGTGCTCAGTATTAAGCCTGCAGCACTGTGTTGAATAAATATGCGTTGAATGAAATGCATGTGCCATGGCAGACACTTCAGGACATAAAAATAATAATAACCTGAGAATCGTGTCACACAGAGGATGGGTTAAGACGGCAGCGGAGTAGCCTGAGCTCGCTTCATCCCTCGAACATTCGAACACAGCTAGATGAATATCAAATCATTTGAACACACGAGAAGCCGATCTGAACTGAGAGGGCCGGGCTGCACAGCTAGAGCTAGAAAAGCAACCCCAGTGTGGACGGTGGGAGCCACGGAGAGTTGACCTCGGGGGAGAAAAGAACGTGTGTGCTGTGGAGGGGAGGGAGCCCTGATCACGGAGAGAGGAGTGAGAGAGAGAGAGGGAGAGGGAGAGAGAAAGAGTGAAGGTGCACCTAAGGGATCTCAGAGGAATAAACCTTCCCCAAAACCACTGGGAAAAGAAGAGGGGCTAACCACCACAAGCTTTTACGAGCCGCAGAGCGCAAAGTCTGAAGTTACCCAGGTCAGCGCCATCACCAGCTTTGCGCCGGTGGGCCTGGCGGTGCTCCAGTGGGGAAGGAGTGTGGAGTGTGGCAGCCCGAAGCGGGCAGCATGGTCTGAGGATCTCTCAGGTTGCACAAGGAGAGACAGTTCCCTGGCTTGAAGTGCATTTGGGAGAGGTGGACTGGCCTCTCCTGGGACAGAAAGACCCCGTGGGCACCAGCCTGCCGCTCTATTCACTGGCATAAGAACAGAGATGCCAGCTGAGGGCGGCAAACCTTGGGTGCCGGGTTTTGGCTGTGCTTTAACACCAACTCCAAAAAATTGCTAGAACTAATACATGAGTTCAGCAACGTCACAGGATATAAGATCAATGTCGAGAAATCTGTTGCATTTCTATACACCAATAAAGAAGCAGAGGAAAAGAAACCGAGGCATCGATTGTGTTTATAATTGCACCAAAACTCATAAGAGACCTAGGAATAAACCTAACCAAAGATGTAAAAGATCTGTATGCTGAAAACTATAGAAAACTTATGAAGGAAATTGAAGAAGATGCAAAGAAATGGAAAAACATTCTGTGCTCATGGATTGGAAGAAAAAACATTGTTAAAATGTCAATGCTACCCAAAGCAATCTACACATTCAATGCAATCCCTATCAAAATACCACCAGCATTTTTCACAGAGCTAGAACACATAATCCTAAAATCTGTATGGAACCACAAAAGACCCCGAATTGCCAAAGCAATCCTGAAAAAGAACACCAAAGCCAGAGGCATCACAACTCCAGACTTCAAACCATATTACAAAGCTGTAGTGATCAAGCCAGTAATGGTAATGGCATGAAAGCAGACATACATCAATGGGACAGAATAAAAAGCCCAGAAATGGACTCACAACGATACGGTTAACTAATCTTTGGCAAAGCAGGAAAGAATATCCAATGGAAAAAAGACAGTCTTTTCAACAGATGGTGCTGGGAAAACGGGACAGCGACACGCAGAAGAATGAAACTGTACCACTTTCCCACACCACACACAAAAATAAATTCACAATGTACGCAAGACCTAAATGTGAGACAAGAAACCATCAAACTCCTAGAGGAGAACACAGGCAGCAACCTCTATGACCTCTTACTAGACGTGTCGCCAGAGGCAAGGGAAACAAAAGCAAACATGAACTATTGGGACTTTATCAAGACAAAAAGCTTCTGCACAGTGAAGGAAACAATCAGCAAAACTAAAAGACAGCCTACGAAACGGGAGAAGATATCTGCAAGTGACATATCAGATAAAGGGTTAGTATCCAAAATCTATAAAGAAATCATCCAACTCAACACCCAAAAAACAAATAATCTAGTGAAGAACTGGGCAGAAGACACGAATAGACATTTTTCCAAAGAAGATATTCAGATGGTAACAGACACATGAAAAGATGCTCAACATCGCTCATCGTCACATGAATACAAATCAAAATCCTGATGAGACGTCACCTCACACCTGTCAGAATGGCTAAAATTAACAACACAGGAAACAACAAATGTTGGCAAGGATGTGGAGAAGGGGTGTAACCCTCTTACACCATTGGTGGGAATACAAACTGGTGCAGCCACGCTGGAAAACAGTATGGAGTTTCCTGAAAAAGTTACAAATAGAACTACCCTACGATCCAGCAACTGGACTACTAGGTATTTACCCGAAGGATAAAAAAATACAGATTCAAGGGGGCACACGCACCCGGATGTTTATAGCAGCACTATCAACAATAGTCAAATTAATGGAAAGAACCCAAGTGTCCCT